AGCTTTAACTTTGTTTGGTAGCATCATACTTGATGGTTTTTCATAGACTAATGAGAACTAGAATGAAAATCGCAACATTTTGTTCTCTTGATCACTTACAAGTCACGAAAGACAGCACTAGGATGTTAAAACTATAGGAATATAATTTATGTATGTATTATACAATGAGTTGGCTTCTTGTGCTTCACTGTTGAATTGAATAACCTCACAGTTAATAGGATTACACATGATTCCAAGAACAAAAACAGGCCAGTCTTACAGAAGTAAGCCAGGCAAAGGTATGCATCACTGCCCTCCTTTTCTGTTCTTTTGTACTAAGTCGTCATGTCATTCTGCACAAATGCATTATTTACAAATGCAGCCCCTTCAACCACAGTTGTTCTTCAGTGGTGGTAATGTTGGGAAGCAAGCTCGTCTGTGACATGAAAAAATAAATGGTCCATCAGAACGTGTCTCTGAATGATTAATGTACCCAGCCAGTCCGAGCTGCAAGCGTCTTCTATTCGGACCAGTGTTTGTTTTTTTGGACAGAGAAGTTGATAACTCAGTTTTTCCCTGTTCTGCATAGTTAGGGGTAATAGCATTGGCCTATAGCTGCCCTTGTGGAACACGTTCCAGGAAACTCCCCTGGATACAAATGCACAGAGGGCACTCTCGAGTTGGTTATCATGTCATTTAGAAGAGAAGCCTGTCATGGTTCCCTGATGATGTGGCACAAATCTCTTGCAATTTTCCCTGGAGGTTAATCCCATGAGCAGCACTGTTACTTTCAGATTTTCAGCTTATACCATTTGGGTTGGGGAAGAAAAAACAAAACCATTTAAGGTAAGGGCCACTGGAAACCATGTTTCAGTGGTAAATCTTGATCCAGATATAATATGGGGAGGGGCAAGTTATCCATGCATCTATATTAGATGCAAGAAGAGAGTTTGGGGCTCACTCAAATTTCCTCTTAGGAGGTAAGCCTGTCCCTGACTACAGCTTTGGGTGGCAAGGGGAGCTCAGAATAGCTAGACATGCTTTTTCTTTTATATACACTACAGATTTAAAAAAAAAAAAAAGTCACCACATTAAACCTACTATAAACTTAGTCTTTCACAGGTAGCTCATGAGAGTGTTTGGGGACAGGAGAGAGGAAAGCTTACATTATTTTCATGACCAGAAATTGATCTTTTTGTTTACAGTGATCCCCATTTTGTGGCAAAAGTGATCCCTGAGACCCAGTCCGTTCCCACAGAGCAATACTCTATATGGCAGATGTCCTCTTTCTTAAGAGTGTCCTGTGCTACCCTCAGTCTTGAGTTATTAGAATAATCTTTTATTTGGGTCTAGTGAATCCAGCTGTTCCCTAACTTAGGACTGAATTAAAAGGCTACAATTATGGCTGCCTTCATCAGGTTTATCGTGGTCCACGATAATTACAGCCTGTCACAGCCAAGATCCAGGGTGAAACCACTATGCCCACCTCTCTGATGTTCTAAGTTCTCTTGCTTCTTTGCCGGAAGTGGGTTGACATCACTAGCAGTCCTGATTTAGTCTACCTTAGCCTTTTCCCCTCTTAGTTGTGCAATTGAATCATAACCCATTACATCACTCATGTTTAACAAAGCAGCTGACTCCCAGATTTGTTTTCCCTGATATCCTCAGGCTGCTATGGTGACTAAGGCAAAGCAGTAGGACAGAAACTCTCAGGCATCTCCCTTTGGACCAAAGTCTGGCAAAAGCATATTTTCTGCCTATTCCCCAAACTCTCTCTGTCTGTCTTCCCACTTTCTCATCCGGACTACAGCTTTTTTTGGTCCTTCCCAACAGGTTAGCAAAGCCTCCAGGGTGCGTAGTTCCCAGAGGAGCCACCCTTTAACTTTCTCTTGCCTGGTGGGGCTGAGATGTCTACTCATCATAAGATGGTTTGAATGCTTTGGTTTCTTGTTCTGCATTAACAGTGCATAGGATGCACACCAAAGAACAGATTCCCTATCACTTCTTAGTTGCCCTCAGCAGATTTGCAGTGTTTGGAAACATTTGCCTAAACTCACGTCTTAAAACATTGTTCTTCAGAGAGGTTTGTCTCTGACTCCTTGAACGTACTCAGTTGTCCATCAAGAGCACTTCCCAGACAGCATGTGAAAGCGGGAGCTGCCATTTCTGACCATTCCGCTTTAAAGCTCCTGCCTAGTTATTCCTCTTACCAGCCATCAAACTGTATGTATTTTAAGCTGAAATGCATCTGTAGAGGTACTTAGCATTTTCTTAATATTCTTCATTCCAGGAACAGACATTCCTACGATTGACATGAGTAGGCGTGAGTCTTCCACAGTAGACATGAATTACTAGACTCTATTTCTTAAATTTTACTGCAGCTATTTATGATACATTTCTGTGGTGCCAGAATAAGGGAGTCACTGTTATTTTCAGACAAGTAATTGGCCCTTTGACCATGTTCAGAACGAGTCAGATTGGTTATCACCACACAAAGGTATAGTTTTTGGTTTCATATGCTCCCAAGTTAAACACAAGTGTAAGCATACGTAATAGGCATACCTTATATTGTTACTGGCATCACACATTTTCTAAAACATCCATCCACAGCATCCATATGCTGTAGAGTTCAGTGGTCTGCCAACTGAACAAGTACACTGCTAGTCCTTCCTCAGAGGTTTTCTATTCTACCACTCAGTGGGGTGATGCTGTTTCATTTCTTTCTGAAATGCAAGTTATTTTCCACACAAAACACCATTTTGAATTGCTACTGATTTTTCCTCCATCAAAAGTGTTAGGTTCTAATACAATAATAACTAGCCACAGCCAGTAACTAGCAATGCAAACCTTGATCAATTTATGTTGTACTTTTGCCCTTCCCATTGTCTTAATCCAGCCAGTCTTTGTTCCTGCTCTCTTGCCAGGAAGTGTGACGTGTCTTTTGGCTTTTCTAATATGACGCAATGCAGATCTATAACACTGTACAAAAACATTTTATAAAGTGAATACAGTCATTCTTTATAAAGAATGACTCTCTCCAAGGTTAATGGAGTAGTAGAAAAGAAATGTAAATAGTTATGAGGTGAACAGGCAGAACTGAAGGATTTTTTAAACTATTATTCCTAGAGCTAAGAGAAAATCTTTCAAAGTACAGGCTGTACCTATAGAGAACTTTTAAAATATAGGCTGTATATTCTCTGAATAATTGTAAATGGATTTCTGAAGTCATTGTTTATATAGCTTTTTATGACAAATGAGATTTGCATATTAACTTAAAAAATGCTTCCAGCTCTTCAAGGCAAATATTTTCACATTAATAATCAGAAAAACAGAAAAAATTCAGGGCAGGCTTGGAGTTGTGGCAGACATCCACACCATGCATACAGCTTCTGCGAAAGAACATAGTTTGGCATTTCTCATGATGATTCATCCTAGAAAATGGAGGAAAATATTTTGCTCCTTTAATAACAGTGGTATCTATTTGTGTGAAATCAAGTTCATTGCCTTATAAAGAACGTAGGGTGGAGATTGGAAAACAACCTAAATCAAGTACTACCAGTGAAGGACAGTAATGTATTTTCTTCCCCTTTTATAAGAAAGTGAAGGAAAAAAGGGGGGATATTTGTTTACTTCTAGTGTTTCCTTAATAGAGGAAACCAACCTAGCCCTATCAGCAGTCATTTTCCCATGCTATGGTGGATGAGACACCAAGGGTCAAACAGATCTTTAAATATAATTTAAACTGTTTTGCAAGTGGAATGTTTACTTGGAGAAAGTTTGTTAGATGCTTTCTGTTATCTATATTTGGATTCCAGGTAGATCCTTCTAAAGAGTAAACTTACTATGTTTCAAACATTTTCTTAGAAAAACATCAGTAAAATCAATATGGTCAGAAATTCTGATATGATTTTAACATAATTTGTGGCCCTTATACCCTGAGTGAAATTTCTGAAGGTGCTCATTTGGAGACTAACGTTGTTCCATCAGTCAGTACTGAATGCCATTTGTGCTCACAAGGCCAAAAGAGAGCACATTTATAAACCCCCTCCTCTGTCTGCAAATCACTGAAATCACTGTTTAAAAAAGAGCTCATTGTAGTTGACTACTTGAGGGAAAATATTGTAGTGAGAATGTGCAAAAACGACAGGAAAAATGCTGAATGCCACATAAGGAATGGAAATGTCCCAACTGCATTTGTACCTCCACAAAACTTTACTCATAATTGTGCATTAAATACTAATTGTGGTAAAAAAAACATAATTGTGGGAAAAATAGCAAGTATTTTTCATCTTAAATCTGCTCTAAAAATGACATGGAAATGACTTTATAAAATAATAAACATCCTCTTTCAAGTATATTCCTGCATCTTAGGGTTTATCTCAGAAGACTTTTAAAAAATGCAGTAGCCTAAGAAAAATGAATGGTCTGCGATGTTTTGCTATACGTGCTATTGTATTTGGTCAGAACTGTGTGTATTAAGGGTTCCAACACCAGTTCAAAAAATCTTTCCTAGAGTAGTGCTTTCTTACACCATATTCCGCAACTCAGTTGAGAGCGTGCGTGTGACAGAGTTGCAGCACTGCACTGGTATCGACAACTTTAAGGTGCTATACCTTTGTTTTTCCTGTTGATTTTGCAAACGTTAAAAGAAATGTATCTGTAGAACTTTTCGGAATAAAACCGTAGCAGCAGTTTTGCTATAGCAGCAGCTAAGTGTCTAGGTGATAAAAGCCTTCTCCCACGCCTGCCACTCTGAACAGCGCTATTGTCAGGAAAGTGTATGCATCTTTTTCCAGTAAGAATACGGACCGTGATAACATTAGCATTTAGACAAGACACTGAGATGATGATTGTGAAATGCATTAATGGATGTGTCACTATTTTAAAAAGAGCCCATCTAATGGATTGTTTATACATGCCATCTCCATCACATTGTACTTACTTATTTATTTTATAGGATATTTTAAACATAAAATTGCATGGATCAAAGTAAAACTCTCCTGTGACTTCCTCACCTCCAGGGCCTGCATTCAACAGTCACCTATCCGAGCCAGTTACGTAGGCTACTGAAGGAAAATGAACATACTGAACAGCCACCGCTTTTTGTACTTTCTGCCTACCACACGCCTTGTCATCTTATTAGCAGCTTTGACAACTGCTGAAGATGTGACTAATAGCACTTTCAACCGCACTGACATGAACGTGGGATCTGTGCCTGTGGTCATCTCCCGCATCGACCATATTATAGTCAAGGAGGGGAATAGTGCCTTGATTGACTGCAATGTCCAAGGTAATCCTAGTCCACATTACAGATGGTACAATTCCAATGGCCGCTTGCTCCAGGAGGAAGAGAATAAAGGTAAGATCTTAATATTCTCAGTAATTTAATTTAGTCTGTCAAGAAGCACGTTTGTTTACAGCAGATGGATGAAAATCGTGAATTTAATGACCTGACTATGGTGTTTTCCTGTGTGAAAGTATGAAAGCAAGCAACCATATGGGATTACAGCAGCTGCAAATTTGTTGAGCACACCTTGGAAGAAAACAGTACATTTTTGTAATGTGTTATTTTATAGCAACACATAGCAAAAAGCTGAAAACCTGAACAGAAGATGTAAACACAAAGGGGGAAAGGCTTCATTCTTTCATTGGAAGACTTCAGATTTGATCCCATTTCTCATTCTCTCCTCTTTGTTCTTCTCTGCCAACAAAAGAGACTGAAAAGCTATTTGACAACTGAAGAAAAGAGTCTCTTGGCATATGGGAATAGTCTTGGCATGGATTCAACATAGCTAGCTCCCTTCCAGTCTTTATTCGAAGCACCATGGGAGTGTGAGAAACAGGAGATGCCCTGAATGACCCACAGAAAAACCCACATATGGGCTTAGAAGGACAAACCAAGTTAGAGTGGCTGCAGTAAGACTCCTCAGTTGCATTTGCCAGAGACCTTAATTTCACATGAACTTGTTTTCCCTAAGTGAACGGTTTGAATTGCATGATAATCCTAGCTGTACTTTTAGGGAACTTTGGGAGGCGGGGGTTAGGGAAGGCATTTTGCTCATATAATTCTTTCATACTGACTGCTTTTGTTCATGGCATGATGAAAAAAACTCGAAGTTATTCATATTAAGTGCAGAATAGCTTGTTTGACTAATAGCTGACCTGAGGGAGAGCTCTGCTATGATAAAGTAGTATTGACCCAGCTGTATGTACTACTGTATAGTGTACCTGTACCAGCTTTCTGCATAACTGGATGTGTTTTATATTTCAGTATTTAGTCTTTTTCTGTGTACAGTTAGAGAAAGGAACTGCTTGAGCTATTAAGTAGACTTTGAGACACCATTTGTGCAGTCATGGCAGCAGGTTGCAATTAGTGCTTGAGAGTGTTTTACTATGGCTCACCAACAGAAGTATTCCTATTCACTTCTTTTAGGCATCTAACTTTAGGTCTTTGTGTAGTCAGTTGAAAGAAGTAGCTACTAATACAAATGTTCAGGCAGATGTGCAAAAATACCGACCAAATCAGTAAAAATTACAGATGTAAAAATTACACTGTAACTCAGACTTTCAACACTGCACTTCCTCCTTTAAGAAACTGACTTTCTTTCTATAAGGAATGCTTCCTAGCACAAGAATTTTCTTTACTACGTATTTGGTTATTTAGAATATGGTGTTGAATTGTTATCAAAAGCCAGCAATGGTACTCTCTAATCATTGCTTTCTCATTAGGGTCATACTATCTGCCAAGATCCATTGGCACAAAACCAGCCATTGAGTCACAGTTCAATGCCATTATGTCATTTCTAACAGCTGGAGCCAGGATACATCAGCAAGGCGTCTTGTCATTTTACAATGAATAAAGACCTACATTGCCAACATTGCAATTTAAAGAAATACTTAGCAACCAATACTTTATATCTCATTCTAGAGGTGGAGAAAGAAGTGTCATTTGTTACAAATGCTGACATTTCCATTATAAGATAGCTTTTTTCTAAATTTGCCTAGCTTTATCAGATTGGAGTCAATTTTCATGTGAAGGTTTGCTGCAGACTGAATTTTTATTTCATCTTTATTTTTTAATTTTGGGCAAAATGATTCAGCTGTTTTCAAGAATCAGGCTAGGGCAAAATATGCTGTTTTAGTAAAGTTAAAAATTCTGTTAAGCTTGACACCGCACATTAAATGAGGAGGGTAAAAAGATGTACTTAAGAACTGTCCTTTCATGGACTGAAGCAGGGATCTTGTGGGAAGATTAATGTGTGATTATATAATCAGCATTAATAGTGTTACACAATATGTGCACTCATGGAATATTGAATGGCTATGTTTGCAATCTCAGTATTTCCTTAACACAATATGCTTGACATAATAGAATTCACGCTGTATTATACTTGCTCTGTAAGCTGCCAAATTATAGTCAGCTGGACTTTTTATGTAATAAGGTTCTAGATATGAATAAGATTGCAGGTGGTAAGGCATAAAACTTACACATGTAGTACATATAACACTACTAGAAGACTGAGTTTACTGAAACGTGTACATGAATTACTGGTCTTAACAATCAACTTCCTGAACCAGTGCTCAATATATACCTCGTATATTTGACTATCCATAGCAATTTACGAATGCTTGCTTGCTGTGTTGGAGTGTGTTTTATTATTTACACTAGATATGGTGAACTATAACTTCAAAGTCATTGCTACAGATCTACCATTTTCCATAATGGGATGGGGAAAATGACATAGACATAGGTGAAAAATTTTGAGCTCCCACCCTGTAACATTTCACGCTGCCAGGAGGAATCAAGTCTCAGTGCCATAAAAGAAAAAACAGGAATATAGCAATCATAATGTTGGTGGAAAAAGAAACAGTGATTTAGGACATCCAGAAGGTCTAAATTACTTTAGTCCTTTTGTTTGCCATCCATCATACTCCTACTGTCTTACTTCCCCTTTTTTTAAGTCACACTTCAAAATGAGATTATGAACACCTTGGGGGCAAGCAGTATAGCATAGTATATGACGTCCAGAATGTTAGTTTTTTTAAAGTTTACATTAACAAAATTATATGAGATACTCTAACAAAACACCCCAAAAAACCCAGTTATAAGAAAATGCATTGTCAGGCAACAAAACAAGGAGGACGTAGTAGACTTTTCTGCCTCACAATTCCATTTTTGCTGATCCTTTTTTAAGAAAGTGTGGCATGTGCTTGGGAGGCTATCTGTGGTAAGTAGCCAGACCTTTAACTTAACTGACTAGAAGATTTTGATAGATACCACAGGTATTAACTCATTTTTTTAATGAAACTCAGGGCACGATCTGATTATTCAAAGTTGATGCCAGTTATTTGACAGTAACCTAGCTAGGATCTCAGGGACAGATAAGCCTTTGTCATGGTAAACTCTTTGTCTTCTTGTCAACATTATTTCCTTTTTCCAAAATCTGAAGCTAGTTTGACAAAGCTGATAGGTAAGACTATGCTGATTATATAAAAAAGATATTTCTAACTAAGTTACTCTGTCTCCTTTCCATCAGGAAAATGGTGGTTTCTTGACAATGGGCTACTAAACATTACCAGCGTCTCTTTTGAAGACAGAGGTAAATACACGTGTGTTGCATCTAATATTTATGGCAGCGTTAATAATACTGTGACGCTGAGGGTTGTCTTTACTTCTGGAGATATGGGCATCTATTACATGATTGTCTGCCTTGTAGCTTTTACCATTGTTATGATATTGAACATTACCCGGTTATGTATGATGAGCAGTCACCTGAAGAAAACAGAGAAAGCAATCAATGAATTCTTCAGAACAGAAGGAGCAGAGAAACTCCAGAAAGCCTTTGAGATTGCTAAGCGTATCCCGATTATCACTTCAGCCAAAACACTTGAGCTTGCCAAAGTTACTCAATTCAAGACCATGGAATTTGCTCGCTATATTGAGGAGCTTGCTCGAAGTGTACCTTTGCCACCTCTCATCATGAACTGCAGGACTATAATGGAAGAAATTATGGAGGTTGTCGGTCTGGAGGAGCAAGGACAGAATTTTGTACGGCAAACAGCCGAAGGCCAGGAAACAACTGAAACAGAGGAGGTGTATATGATCCCTAATGCTCTGAAGCGCAGTGACTCTCCCACAGCTGACTCCGATGCATCGTCACTGCATGAGACACCTCAACAGATTGCAATAAAAGTGTCAGTTCATCCGTTGTCCAAAAAGGACTGCATGGATGGTCAGTCACAAGAAAGTGTGCAACTGGACACCAAGGAAGAAGACACTCCTCAGACACCAGCACTTCCTACAGAGCCCCCTCCTGAGCCTTCTGCTGAACTCTGTTCTGATGATACAGCGTTGGCAAATGACAAAAATACATGTGTTATATATGAAAGCCATGTATGATTGTTACTCTTGAATCTATGCATAGCAGGAAAATCAGGAGCTCTTTTAAAAATACATATTGTACTTGCCGCTAAGCCTTACCTGGAGACTATCATAGCGAAAGCATGTATGTGGATTATTTGGCACTTTCTTCAGTTTGACTTTAGTTTACCATGACTTATGGCAGAGTAATTGCTATTACATAAATATTAATTGCTCTTTTGGATTAGGAGTTTTTCCAAGAAACACTTACCTCAGCATTTTCTAGGTTGTTGTCACCTGTAGTGGCTTCCTGGAAGTCATTGGTAGAGTTGAAGTAGGACACTTGACCTTACTAAACATAAAACTGGTTTCCATTTTCCTCCTTCACTCTCATTTTTTCCATCTGTTGCATTTTTGCAAATATTGTCTCGTGAATTTGAAGAACTGCCCAAGAGGCAGCACTCCGCTAGCCAAATAAAATCCTAATAGATCCCATTTACAAAGCCTCTTTGCTGAGCTGCATTGTGATTTAGAGAGCTATTAAAGAAAGTTAAAATGTTTCCATTTCATTTGAGACCATGCTGCTTAGGCACAAGGGAAATAATTTACCCTTTTCCATGGAAGGAAATGCCAACAAAGTGTTATTTCACATCAAGAAACAACTTGGGTGCATATTTTACAGATAGGAAAAGTCCTTCAAATCTGACAGAAAGCTGCAGTTACAAAATTCTGCAGATTTTGTGCATATATTTGACTGTCTTTGACTTTTCCAGAAGTTTATATGGAAAGCAGTTGTAAATGTGTGAGATATGGTGTTTGGTAGTTATTTGGTGGGAGTAAGTATGTATTACCTTAGCAGAAGATGCACAGATTCATTAAGAGTTCTGCAAACTCCAGTAATCAGCTGATTACTGAAGTGGCAGAAGACCCTTTTATTGGACTTCTCATTTTTGTGCAGATTAACATTCTGAGGATCAAGCTTAAATTCACCTATAATCATAAGCTTGAGAGTGCTTTATTCAAGCGAAAATTAATCAAGGGTCCCGTTTACTGTGTTAAAATTGCTTGGGAATTTCAAGAACCTGCTACCTGTGTAAGATGTTCACTGCTCGAGTACGTGTGACTCTATCCCAGTAAAGCTTTAATGGTCTTGGTGATTGTGGCATTGAAAAAAAATCAATGCTTATCCCAGGGAAATGCCTGAAGTGGAAGTGATAAGTTCTATTGTAGACAGACAATAAAAAGAACCTTCTCCTGAGTGAGTCTGGAAATAAAGCACTTATCAGGAGGAGTTTGTGCAAGATTAATAGCATATTACTTCATTATCTGACACACACTTAATTTGGAACTGGTGAACAACCTGTCACCTGGTAGTTTCCAACAAGGACTATGGTTTACATACAGATACTCAAAGTAAATCTGGAATCTGGTGCATTAGAGGGAAAAAAGTCAGTCAGGTCTGTGGAGAGTGATGGATAGCCAGCTCCCCAGACGTTTTCTTGAAGTAGTCACACATCTACACAAGGTGTCCTTTGGAGGTGATCAGCTATATTAACTGCACAGGTAATTGAGACAAAGTAAAATCAACGTAGTTGCAACTGTCTCTAAAATCCCTTGCTAATGAACAGGGATTCTGTGTGGACTTCTTTGTGTTAAAGTTCAGAGCTTCACTAGTACTGTAATAATACGAACAATCCATGATTTATGCAGGTGATGCAGAGAAGGTTTCATATTTACCTTTGTGTAGTTACTTAAAAAAGTACATGTTTGATAAGAGACTCCAGATTTTGTGATGAGGCTATGAACTTGTGAAAATTACAGCATCTAGTTGCCTAATATTTGATTGTGCTCACCACTGTGGCAGACATCTGAACAAAATATATTTGCACTTACCCAAAAGGAAACATGCAAAGGAAAGGCTCTTTAAGAATGTGACTGAAAGTCTTTGAGGTAGAGTGAAGCAATATAAATTTAGAGCACAGGGTAGATTACGAGAACACCGTGAAGAACCTCACCCCTGACCAGCGTAATTGAAAATACTACTGATACAAGCTGTGAACTTCCTTGTTTGCACATTTCTGTTTATTGTTCACATCATTTTTTCTTCAAGTCACTGAATTCGCTTTTGGTATGCAAAAGGATGAGGGCAGAAACAGCAGGAACTTGCACTAAATGCTTTCAGTTCACCTTAATCTACTGTAAAGAGGCATCTTGATTTTCCTGCCTGTCCAGCATTTACAAACATGGGTCATGCATTTTAAAGTTACCTGCCTAATGCCCAGCAGTCAGTTTGCTTAGATGAGCAAGTGGGTTCTCCTTCAAAGCAGAAAAATAACTTTAAAACTACACTTTAAAGACAATTTAAATTCATGCTTTAAAATTATTTCATGATATTATACTACAGTATTTTAGTTTTTATTATTTTTAATTATGAATTTTTTACAGTAGAGACCAGACTCCTCCATGTATTCATACAGTGATTGATACCAGCCGGTTCTGATCCTGACTGCTGCACTCAGGCTGTCCTCCAACCTGTTTATTATTTATTTATTGATAAACATTTGAGAGCAAACAACTCCCATAGTTTTCATTAGTTTCTCCATGTAAAATTCCTTGATATGTTATATTTTTTCAAAGGGCTGACCCAAAAAAAACACGTGTATAAAGTACTTCCAAAAGTATGTTGTGAACAATTTCTGAGCTACAGTTATTTGGACCAAACTTCTCCTTTGACTTCACTGAAGCTAGAGTCACTCAAAACTTAGAATTTCACAGGTAAGACTGGTCTAGCTAGTCCAATGTAAAGACTTTTTCTAGTGACCTGCAGTATGTTCAGAAAAATGGACGTGCTTTTGCGCATTTAGCTTTGTGGTACTTAATGGAATAAAAACAGACCAGCACTGTATCTAAAGAAAATACAGATTGTAAGGGTTCTGTTTTATATATTTATTCTATTTTCATGTATGCTGCTCAGTCTTCAGTACCTTTATGCACTTGTTATATTACACCTCTAAGCCTAAAGCTTTTTACATGCTTTCAGTTACCACTTTTGCAGAAGATACGCAAAAGAGTTGGCAAGTGAGATCCAAACCCATCTTGTCTCTTCCTTTGCAGGCTGTGTGCTCATGAAGTAAAGAATTTTGTCTTGCAATATTTCTTAAACAGAAATTTCTAGAACATTTATGGTGCAAGAACACAGTTAGCAAATATAAAATTAATATGGTTCTAAGGAATGCATTGTGGTGGATTTTCATGCACCTTAAGCACTTCAGGGACACTGGAGTGGTAAGTTCCCATATTTGGACTATGCACACCTTTTGTTATATTGTTTTATTTATTATGTCATCAACTAGTAATAGTTCTTAAAAGACTCTGAATATGGAAAATCCTGTCCAACTGAATTTGTGTTCTAAAAGCATAAGGAAGACCAAGCCAGCTTTCGGAAGAAAAAGAGATTTGCAGGATATAGTTATGTTGTTTAAAATACTTTTGTTGAAACTTCATTAAATGCGACTTGATTTCTGCAGCACAAGAAATCAGTGCTGGATTTGATTTTTTACACTTACTGTTGTTTTTGTACTAAATCTAAGACGATATTAATCAGAGCACTTGAACGTAGTACTATCTACTGACTCACTTTTTCTTTCTAAGCAGCACTTTCTTACTGCTGATCTTTTTCATTGCCTGATTTAAGTATGCTTGTGATTACACCTACCATTCAGTCACTTCGGAGATTGTCTTTTAAAATTTAAACAAAAAAATAGATCAGCGTTTTAATGCAGATTCATTGGTATTAGGTTGGCTTGATAGTTGTTGGCTCCTGTGTTTAAAAAATTAATGTATAATCACAAGCAGATTATGGTACATATGGGCAAATGGTGATTTTTTTTAAATCAGTGCCTGTTTTATTCAAATGTATATACTATGTCAATTCCTCAATTTGCAGTTACCCTTTGACATCAGTACTGTAAGATATAATCAGGGCTTTCTGACCTTCAGTTTGATTCAGAGCAACTAATTCTGAAAAGTGTTAACAGTCAGTGTTGAATTTTAACAGTTCTCATGGAATAACATGGCAGTACGCTATCTAAAGTGTTGGCCTCCTAAGTATGTCATACGTTGTGGGACAACCGAAAGCTTCTTACATGCAAAGAAAATGCTTGCACTAAAGTATCTTAAGTTTTCTTTCTTTTATTATGAAATATTTTTTAATGTTACAAGAAATATGAATACAAATATGAATGTGCTCTTTTGGGAAACATAGTTACTGTATTTTGATTTAAATAACTATTATGATTTTATAGTTCACAGCCATAAACCGCAAAGAGACCAGTTCATGCTGAAGTGACAAAATGAAAGTGATTCAGCTTGTAAATTGATCATTGTTTCAATAAAGAATTTGCACAGTATATTCTGAGCTTGTACACACTAAAAAGATGATAGTTTCCGAGTAAGAGTATGCTATGGCTCCATTTCAAGTGGAAGTAAATTATGTCTTTCATTGTACATCTGCTAATGTTTCAGAAATTTTGAGCAGGAGAAGCAATTATTTACCTAGAAAGAAAGTATTAATAAAGCTTTAAAAGGGAGCTGTTGTCATTTTTCGGAGTATAGCCCCAATTGTTAGTCAGTGCTGCTGTTAAGAGTCTCATATATGTGATTGCTTATATGTAAGATTGTTCATATATGTAGCATTTTCTCTTTGTCTGACGGCTGTCATGGAGCTTGTAAAAAGATTTGCTGCTGCTTCAAAGGTGAAGCCAGCAAAGTAAGTGTCTCCTTTTCCAGAGGTACCAAGATGAAATAGAAGTTTGCACTGCCCCCATTCCTTCATTCATCTTGAAAGGATAGGTGAAATGGCTCTCCTTTCCAACAGCAGTTAGACTATATCACTCGGTCCTCAGCAGGACTTAGTAGAAGCAGGGGTTGGAATATCTAGTCGTGGCTCTGCTGGTGCTACAGAAGTAGCAGGCCAGTAACAGCCACTGACAGAGCTGAGTGGGGGGACATGACATTTGCTCTTTCACATATGAAGGAGTTGCTCTTGCCAACTGCCTCTTCTCCTAGGCTGAAAAACATAACTGATACCAGGAAAACAATGGCCATTTAACGTGTTTTTTAATCTACAATGTTTCATGTTTTAATTCTGCTTTTTAAAATGGTGCTCCAATTTTGAAAAATATTTTCAGAACACGTTTTTCTTCACCTTTTTCAGCTGAGTTAACAGGGCTGAAAGACGTCCACAATATATCTACAAGTATCTATGAAATACAGTGAAGGGGTCTCAAACTGACCATAAATATGGAATATAAAATGTCTAGAGCCATATTCTATTAATAATACATATGGCCAGAAACGTATTCTATGTTACTGTCTCATAGTGAGACACTGTCTGCAACTGTGGCAGTTTGATACACTGTGACTTTTTTATAATATGGAACTGCCCCACTTCCACCTGTTCAAGTGACACCTCCAACAATTTTGTCAGAGTGGTTTCCAGACCACCAGTTTCCCGGGTAGAGTACCAGCAAGCAGTTGTTCTCCTTGGGCTGGTGACTCATGCTAATCTCCTGAACACTGAAGCAAACTCCCTCCAGACCCAGTGCTTCTTAAAAAGAGAAGGTATTTGTCATGTGGGGGAGACGGCCTTACACGGACACTCACAGATGCACTGCAAAACTAAAAGCCACTGATTGGTAGCATCTCAACAGCAAGAAGGGGGGTGGGGAGGGGTGTCTCTGCTCTCCTATTGAGACTGGACTCAGGCAAAGCTAGCGCATCGCTCAGGAACAGCGCCCCAGTTACCTACAGTGCTACAACTCCACTTTCCCACATGCGTGGACATTTTCTGGCTCACATCCTGCAGCAGAGCCTGGAATAGCTAGCTAAGAGACTTCAGAATCAGGTTTTTTTCAGTGTCTATTTCTTCCCTGTCTTCCTCTTCTCCTGTCTTACCTTCCTGTTTTCTCTTTGTCCCCACCAACTCCCCAGTGTTACCTCTATGAGGAGGATGAGGAGTCTAAGAACATAATGAAGGAAGTGGTAAAGACAGGCTTTTCTGTACTCCATACGGTTTCAAACTCATCTTTCATAAGTCCCAAAATGCATTTTTTTTTTCCCCTCAGCTATACCAGGCTCTGATACTACATACTATATTTAGTTCTCTGGCTCCCAGGCCCAAACTGAGTCATTATGCTTTTACAGTAAAGGCTGACCGGTGAATCCATGGTATCATGAATAAGTCCATAAATTGGTCAAAGATAGTGACATAAACTGAAGTTACAGATTTCTTTATCAAAATCACAGTGGATGACCTCAAACAATAAATGTGCCAGACTTAGCTTCTTTATATATAAAGTTGCATGTCCTATTTCATACCACAGCAAGACAGCAATGAGAAGAATTAACAGGCAACCTTCTACAGAATGGATAATAGTGTAAAACCTTGCTTTTGATTTAATACAGATTTAGCATCAGTATCAAATCAATTTGCCATTCTATTAGCTACCACCTGTTTTCAGAACAGATACCTACTACGTCTAGTCTGACCAGAACTTTCCTATGTGGACAAGTAAATACTAAAAGAATTATCAGAAAGAGCTTTGTCTTTTCTTCCCCTACCATTTTGAAATTCCTTTGAGGACTATTTAACTATGCATCATAGGCTAGCCACAGACTGTGACTGTCCCTGTCGTGTTAGGGACCCATGGAGTTGAGGAGCTCCCATAATTGGTGCACAAGCTGGCCTTTTCCAAATATCTCAGTCTTCTCTTGAAGGAAATAGGTTTTGATCACACCACCCAATAAACACATTTATTAAATGCCTAGGCCCAGATAGTCTCAACTGATAATTACAGAGAAACAAAATAAATTCCACCAGCACCTTTGCTCTATCTGAAGCTGATTACAGCCTCTTACTGCTCTTACCTGAAAGATTAGCCCTATTAGATGCATACATAGCTCCTGAGTTGTTTTGGCACTCACTGTTTCCTGTCTGGTGAACACTACCTTTGTCAGAAAGCAGGACTCAAAAAAGTAGCAGCCAGAAAAGGAAGGTTCCTCATACGGGGACAAATATGGAACCTGCCTGTTTAAAATGCCTCCTTCGTTATCATTATCCTTATACATGCAGAGTAAACAGCCTCAGGAAAAGAGGGTTAAAAAACAAAAATAAATTTAAGAGGATTAAAATGGACAATTTTTCTCCTCACTCAAAAATATCCACAGGTGACTGTATATTTAAAATTTATTGTTAAAAAATCAGGCAACTCTAACTCATTTAATCATTTATTCATTTGTTGTTAAACATACTCAAATGAAGGAAAAGGAGATTCCTAAAGTCAAGGATT